CTAGTGGGCTGATAAAATTTTATTTTTCATTTATATTTGAAATACAACTTTTGTGAAATCCTGTATTTCTTTTTCGGTGTTCATACGAGCAATGCAACACCATTAGTTCACCGATAGATGGCAGCACACGTAAAAACATGGTTGTTTGATTTCGCGCAAAGCTACATGAGGACTGTTTGCGCTAGCCGTCCCTAATTTTGAAGTTATATAGAAGAGAGAATGTAGCTAGTCAACATCAGCCACCGCCAACTTTAGAGTTACTGTTGTTAGACCGAAAATAGGATTAGGCCGTCACTCTTTTATAACGAACTATTGCTCCTTACGTGCTGAGCACAATTTTTCATTTTCTTTTGGCGGTAACGGGACGTGGACTTAGAATTTACGGTGCGGCAAGCTAACCACTAGGCCAAGCTCGACCCCTAACATATGATAGAATTATTGTAATTATACATGTTACTGTTACTAATATCTATTTGGACTATTTTATTTATCATATTTCTTGTTTTTTTGCAGAGCCCTCTATCGTTGATATAACCAAACTAACAGTAAGAGCCGGAAAGGACGCAGTGTTACAATGCACTGTAGAGAACCTAGGAAATTATAAGGTAATGTAAAGCAACAATAAGATGATCATGGTTTGTTGATTGTAACAATAAGTTACATTATAATAATGGGATAATATTTGTTCACTAAATAAACAAAATAACCATCTTTTACTTCATTATATTAATTGGGTAAAAGTATGTAACACACTTTTAGAACCTCGGTAACTACGCTTGTTGCTTTATGTTTCTGACGAAGACGCTATTTAACAATGAAAAATTAGATCAGTCTGAAATTATAGATATTTTGACTGGTTGTATCTTTTAGAGTGTTTTTAAATTTGTCTTGTGTTTGTTAACTTAATCACTTTAGCAGGAATAACTTAATTTAGATATTTAAATAACTTAAATATGATGCTCTAAGTGCTAAAATTACATAACATACATTTTTGGTACTCCTAATGTCGTCATTATTTATATTTAATATTTATGTCAGATCTACAAATAAATAACTATTTAGCAGTTCTCCGTTATCTAATATTCACATTGAGATTTGTTACTAAAGTTGTACTGGTTGGAGAGTAATGTTACTTATTATCGCTAGATGGCACCAGAGAATAAACAGGATATAAGTGACAATGGTTGGAGGTACTTGATGATGACAAAACCTTGTCGAAACGTTGTACATTTGCTGTTATGTTAAACTTATATTAAAGTTTTTCTTCATTGCCCATTCAAGCTGTCTCCAACCATTATTCGTCTCAAAGTGGGTTCCTCTTCATCGAAGATATAAGTGAATAACATCGCTTTTTCTCACATCCATAGATGAATTAGATAACATATCGCTTTTCCTGTTTTCACAGATCAGTTACCTACAATATCAGCAACATAGGGAAGCGATTTTATATATATTACCATCTTTATGACTGTAAGTTTGGATAGTTTTAATTTTTGACCATGTTCAGGAACTAAGGTAAAGTACGTTCTTCTTTTACTTACATCAAATATGTCGCGAATATAAAACTTGTAGCTACTACAGTTAGTTGCAATGGACTTCTAACTCTTTGAAATCGTTAGTAAAATACTAAAGTATTAGTTAATTCACAGTGATTGGAGAGAAAGAGGCTGTCCCATGCACAAACAAGTTGACTGCGTTACACTTTCTACCAACCCTGTTTATTTGGCTCCTTTTGAATACTTTGAAGTTATAATTAAAAGTGTGGTTGGACATATGCTTAAGTTGTCATTTCTGATGTTAAATCATTAGCTGTGACTGTTTACATACGTATATTGTAAAATGTATGGTAAAGATGACAGTGAGGAATATCACAGTGGTGGTACAGAATAATGTGACCAAGGTAACACAAATGTTGATTACTGTAGAATAAGGTAACCAAGGTAATAGGTTTGATTAATACAGAATAAAGTGGCCAAGGTAACACAAGTGTTGATTACTGTAGAATAAGGTAACCAAGGTAATAGGTTTGATTAATACAGAATAAAGTGGCCAAGGTAACACAAGTGTTGATTACTGTAGAATAAGGTAACCAAGGTAATAGGTTTGATTAATACAGAATAAAGTGGCCAAGGTAACACAAATGTTGATTACTGTGGGATAAGGTAACCAAGGTGATAGGTTTGATTAATACAGAATAAAGTGGTCAAGGTAACACAAATGTTGATTACTGTAGAATAAAGTAACCAAGGTGATAGGTTTGATTAATACAGAATAAAGTGGCCAAGGTAACACAAATGTTGATTACTGTAGAATAAGGTAACCAAGGTAATAGGTTTGATTAATACAGAATAAAGTGGCCAAGGTAACACAAGTTTTAATTACTGTAGAATAAGGTAACCAAGGTAATAGGTTTGATTAATACAGAATAAAGTGGCCAAGATAACACACAAGTTTTAATTACTGTAGAATAAGGTAACCAAGGTGATAGGTTTGATTAATACAGAATAAAGTGGCCAAGGTAACACAAATGTTGATTACTGTAGAATATGGTAGCCGAAACGTTTTTTCCCCCCGCTGGTAAAAGTACAAATTGACGCATGCTACAAGGATTTCTATAGCAACAGAACTGTTTTGAGGTTCGTCTAACCGCCACCGGAATATGAGATTAAAATTTATTAAGTTTTGTTTTTGAATTTCGCGCAAAGCTACACGAGGGCTATCTGCGCTAGCCGTCCCTAATTTAGCAGTGTAAGACTAGAGGGAAGGCAGCTAGTCATCACCACCCACCGCCAACTCTTGGGCTACTCTTTTACCAACGAATAGTGGGATTGACCGTCACATTATAACGCTCCCACGGCTGAAAGGGCGAGCATGTTTGGTGTGGCAGGGATTCGAACCCGCGATCCTCAGATTGCGAGTCGGGTGCCTTAACCACCTGGCCATGCCGGGCCGAAAATTTATTAAGAAGAACGTAAACGAACTGTTTCTGACCCAAATTAACAGTTAACTGACAAACACATTTGGTAATAAAACATAAAACTTTCTACTTGTTTGTGTATGACGCTAAGTTACATCCGATCATTTTGTTAAAAACAGAAACTGACGCAAAAAATTGCTTATTGACCCTATGGTATTTACAATAACTTACGATTTCAGGGTAAGAATATTTTATTTTAGGCTTATAGATGGCGCCACAACTGTAATGCGGTATTTTGATGATTAAGCACACGGTATCGTAGTACTTTCGAACTTTTAAATATGTTACACAATCAGCCAGCTTATAGCAGTATAATACAGATAATTGGTAACCGAAGATAGAGAAAATTGATTTGTCTATTAACAAACGAAGCTAGATATCCAATCTCACGTGTTTAGCCTTTGCAAAAAGGCTCATCGATCAAAGATTTGATCATTTTTCTGACGTTTTGAAGTCCTAGAAGACGCCATGCTAAGTTGCTGAAAAGGCAGGAGGCGGTTTGTTCAGTTACAATGTGATTATTAATTTGTAGTTATTAATACTTGTTTTCTTTTTGATAAACTCCGTCCATCGTGGGTATTGATATTTCTAATGTTATAAGCTCTCAGACTTTTTACTGAGCTACCGGGGATCACTAATCATTATTAACGAGATTTCTTAATCTAACTAAGTTTTTATTCAGTGCAATATTATTGTGTATCTTAATATTTATCAAGAATGAAATATTGTCGTGTAATTCTATGGTATTATCAGTTAATTCCGAAAATCTATTAATTAATTATGAAAAATATTTATATATTACAATCAGGATGAACATTGAAATAGCGAGACAGCTTGGTCCGTGAAAATAAAATACTCGTGGATATCTAGTAAATTACAATAATAGAATTAACGAAAACAGTTAATTCGTGCGCACAGTTGAGTGTAAGAGGCCTGGTAATCCCATCGTAGCTGAGAAACAGCCTTGTACGCTAGAAAATGTCGTGAGGCATGTTACCTAACAAAAAAAAAAGATCTGGTAAACATTAAGACCTTTCAAGATGAGATGCCCTGCCCTGTGTTTTTAGACTGTTACGTCAGACTCTAATGGCAACTCTCACAAACAATATAGTTTATAATATTTATAGTTTAGGTATCATTGTTACCAAGGGCTCGATTAACGTTTTAAACAACAAGAATAAGACCATCAGGATAGCAGCTTAACACAACAGGATTAGGTATCATTGTTACCAAGGGTTCGATTAACGTTTTAAACAACAACAATTAGATCATCATGGTAGCAGCTTAACACAACAGGATTAGGTATCATTGTTACCAAGGGCTCGATTAACGTTTTAAACAACAAGAATAAGACCATTATGGTAGCAGCTTAACACAACAGGATTAGGTATCAATGTTACCAAGGGCTCGATTAACGTTTTAAACAACAAGAATAAGACCATTATGGTAGCAGCTTAACACAACAGGATTAGGTATCATTGTTACCAAGAGCTCGATTAATGTTTTAAACAACAACAATTAGACCATCAGGGTAGCAGCTTAACACAACAGGATTAGGTATCATTGTTACCAAGGGTTCGATTAACGTTTTAAACATGATAGTGACAAACTTTGGACTCGAGTGAACTAGTCAAGAACTTTGGACTTCAAGTAATTATATAATGAGTTCTAACGTAAATAAACGATCGTCGAAATAACAATTCTTCTGGTAAGACGATTACAAAACTCCAAAGTAAGATGTAAATGACAGCTGTTGCAATATTTTCCCACCAGGTGGCGTGGCTACGGGTAAAGAACCACACACTGATAGCAGTGCACACTAAGGTGATACTGAGGAGTGAGCGCTACAGTGTGTCACACCAGAATCTAAAGACGTGGCAGTTAAGGATAGAAAACGTGACACTAGAGGACAACGGTTACTACATGTGTCAAATTACCACCCCCATCTTTAAAACCAAACCTGCATATCTAGAAGTAGTCGGTAGGTGGCTTAGTTTATTGTCTGAAGATGTGTGAGAAAAATAAGGGTTAATTAAGAGTGTAACACACACTCTGATTCAAATAAAGACAATTTTGATAGATTAAATCAAAAAACAAATAAACCAACTTTTTAAGAACATTACTATTTGCATACTAAATAAAACATAAACTTTAGTTGAAAACTTTTACATTTTTACAGCCGTTTGTTGTAAAACTTCGATTTTTAAACTTAAATCTATTGAAAAAGTGCTTCTTAATTCATCCTGCAGGGAACGTTGAAGGCAATTAAACCTAAATTCATTTTTTATTTGTTAAGTAAATGAAATCCTGAAGATAAATTAACGGCAGAAGAAAAAAAAAAAAATTTTGCAAGATGTTTGCGACCCTAGTCAGTAAACTGTGGTTAAAATTTACATGTTTCTGTGTCAGTTCCTCCGGCCTTTGATAGCAGCACTACCAGTAACAGCACTAGTGTCTTGGAGTACACACAGAACGTGACTCTCACGTGCAACGCTACAGGAAACCCCCTTCCCGTCATCAAATGGTGTAGAGAGGACAATCAAAGTTTCAAAGTTGGAAACCAAAAAGGTAAGCTGGTTTTTAGGTTTCTCGAAGTTTCAAAGTTGGAAACCAAAAAGGTAAATTGTGTTTTAGGTTTCTCGAAGTTTCAAAGTTGGAAGCCAAAAAGGTAAATTGTGTTTTAGGTTTCTCGAAGTTTCAAAGTTGGAAACCAAAAAGGTAAATTGTGTTTTAGGTTTCTCGAAGTTTCAAAGTTGGAAACCAAAAAGGTAAATTGTGTTTTAGGTTTCTCGAAGTTTCAAAGTTGGAAGCCAAAAAGGTAAGCTGTTTTTTAGCTTTCTTGAAGTTTAAGAGTTGGAAACCAAAAAGGTAATTTGGTTTTAGCTTTCTCTACGTGCAACAAAGACAGGAGTTCCTCTTGTCTTCTAGCTTTAACATTTGTATTACTTTACATCCATACAAACATGACTTTACATCCATACATACATGACTTTACATCCACACAAACATGACTTTACATCTATACAAACATGACTTTACATCCATACAAACATGACTTTACATCCACACAAACATGACTTTACATCTATACAAACATGACTTTACATCCACACAAACATGACTTTACATCCATACAAACATGACTTTACATCCACACAAACATGACTTTACATCCATACAAACATGACTTTACATCCACACAAACATGACTTTACATCCATACAAACATGACTTTACATCCATACAAACATGACTTTACATCCATACAAACATGACTTTACATCTATACAAACATGACTTTACATCCATACAAGCATGACTTTACATCCATACAAGCATGACTTTACATCCACACAAACATGACTTTACATCCATACAAACATGACTTTACATCCACACAAACATGACTTTACATCCATACAAACATTTACTGATCATTCGAAGAACAATTACATCCAATTCGTGCAACAATCTCAGGAGCAGCAAACTAATCCTTTGGCCTCGAAAGTACTGCATCCAGAGAGCAATTCTAAGAACTTATGCCATATCCGGTGTCGAGAAGGCCTTTCGTATAATACCAGGACTCACCAGACCCACTATCTGTGGCACTTCGTCTGTAGTTAGCGTGTATTATTTGTTTATTTTTTTACAGAGAAAAAGGCCCAAAGGCTGAGATTCTATGAATGCTGTGTAAAATTATTTGACACAAGTAATAATTTCTGATAAAATGAAAACAACGAGATCTAAGTATAATAAAGTTAATGAAAATAAGACGATTATCCTGACAAGAATGTTGGGTGACATTTTGAACTCCTTTAGCTTTACCTAAATCATGCTGTAAACAATCCGAAGACAAGTAATTTTAATAAGCAAAGGACTTTTTACAAATAAACACGCATCTTGGAGTCAAAGATGGCTGCCAACTTAAGAGATAAACTTCCTTCAACAACTATGAAATGCCGCCTTTCTTGCCAAACATACAAAAAAAGAAAATACAAGCTCCAATTCTTATGCCCATTTGTCAGTCCTTTTCCTCAGCGAAAATCGTCTGAATACGAGATTCTTGGCTCCGCGAACTTTATTAGATTTTCTTCCAACTACGACTCGGCGGACCCGGACCCATTGAAGAACAGTTATGACTAAGACCCGCTGACCTGACGTCAGCGTTTTGCCAATCAGATGGTTTCTTTTGATTTATAAACCTTCACCGAAACGAGATAAGCGCCTAGACCGAAAAACGGTTTCCTCATCAAACGAAGCTGGTGGAAGTAGAGCCGTGGTTACTGCTCTCGTTTAACGGTGACACACAGTAAAATATTTTATAATTAAGTGCGCAGAAAGCTGCTATTAAGATCCTGCCAAGCAGGTTTTAAATACTAATGGGACTAAATTTTGTAGTTTTTGATTTGTACGACTTACTAAGAGGGTATAACAGAAAGCTGCTATTAAGATCCTGCCAAGCAGGTTTTAAATACTAAATATTGTAGTTTTTGATTTGTACGACTTAGTAAGAGGGTATAACAGAAAGCTGTGAGGAAGAAAATTATAGAAAACGCGTATAGTAAAATTAAATTTTTTAGAAACAAGTGTCTCTCACACAGAGAGAAGACGTTCTCAATAAGTTTCCAGAGATGACAAATCACGTCGTACACACCTACTGTCTTTGCAAAAGAATAACATTAACTTATCATTTTGTGTTGGAAAACATTTAAAAAAAGGATGACGTAATAGTACCTCAGTGATACGGTAGTAATGTACATCTAGATTATGGAGAAATAACACAGATAAAGATGTTATGGTAGTAACGTACGGCTAGACTATGTAGAAATAACACAGAGAAAGATGTTATGGTAGTAACGCACGGCTAGATTATGTAGAAATAACACAAATAAAGATGTTATGGTAGTAACGTACGGCTAGATTATGTAGACATAACACAGAGAAAGATGTTATGGTAGTAACGTACGGCTAGATTATGTAGAAATAACACAAAGAATGATGTTATAGTAGTAACGTACGGGTGTTATTTCTACATAATCTAGCCGTACGTTACTACCATAACATCTTTATTGTGTTATTTCTACATAGTCTAGAAGGACAAGTGTTATGGTAGTAACCTACTAGACTATGTAGAAATAACACAGAGAAAGATGTTATGGTAGTAACGCACGGCTAGATTATGTAGAAATAACACAGATAAAGATGTTATGGTAGTAACGCACGGCTAGATTATGTAGAAATAACACAAAGACAAGTGTTATGGTAGTAACGTACGGCTAGATTATGTAGAAATAACACAAAGAAAGGTGATTTACTAGAGAGACGTAATATAAAAAACGATAATTAAATTTCTGTTGTTTATGATCGAGAAAATCAAGCGTCCAATGGTCACTGAAAGTCCTGTTTGAAGGTTGGTTTGATTTAGAGGTTTTAACTAAGAAAAAGTTTATCTATAAAGTTAAAAGTCTTCACTATTTACGTGGTGATCCATTTTTCATTGTTACCTTCTACGTCAAATGCTCATACACGTGTGGATTCATCTTCCTCTTGCTCCTCTCACAGTGAAACAGTACCATGGAAACAGCATCACCTTCCCCTTGGTTACCAGAGCGTACATGGGTGCCTACCTCTGTATAGCCAGCAACAATATCCCTCCACAAGTCCGTAGAAGAATCTACCTGGAAGTGAACTGTGAGTTACTTTACTTTCAAATATCGCTAGACTTCGATTTTCATTTAGTTAAATCTATTGCATTCAAGAACGGTGTCTTTTAATCTGCTTTACCAGAAACATAGAGCGTTTCCATAGAAACCGAGTTCACTGTTCCGGCAGAATGTTATTATACTTTGTGAATAGTTGGTTTGGTGTTAAACGCAAAGCTATGCAATTGGCTGTCTACGCTCTGCCCATAGAAACCAGAATTAAAAACGTTAAAAGCCCCCAAACTTAGCCCCCCCCGAGCCACTGGGTGAGGGTTAATAATTAATGGATGTAGAATTTCGGAACATAAAAATAGAAGTAGATGAACGACTTGTATTCATTCAGTTGCTATAGCGATTTTTACATGTTTATCTATTGTTTCCTTTTGTTAGAATGTGTCTTTAGTTTCAGACACATTCTCTTGGTAAGCATCTTTCCGGAGATGAGCGTTTCTCTTCTATTTGGCTCTTATTCTTTATGACAACAACTCATCACTGACACACAAACACTCTGCCACATGTGCTGGTAGTCTATTGCAGGGGTGCAGGTAGAAATCTTTAAGGGGGGAGGGCTACCTTTGGAGGAAAATGGAGATGACTGGCGAAGATCTGTTGGTATAGACTTAGGATCCTGGAGCGAAGGATTGGCTCTCTGGATTTCCAATTGTGCAACATCACTGAATATTCTACGCATGTTAGCTGCAATATTAGAGTGACAGTCAATCCATAAGTTTGAATTTTGGATATTAGGTTATTGCGTTCCCTCTGGCCAGTAGTTCAAAGTTCAGAAAGCCTTTATAGCTTTGCCATAAAAAGTAAAACAACAACAGCAACAACAAAACAACAGTAATTTCGGATCCTACCAATTCGTGTCCTTTCGGAAATGTACCTCGGTGGCGGCTAAGTTTCAGGGCTTATAGCACTGAAGTGTTGGGTTTAATTATTTGGGCTTGGTGGGACTAGTCATGCGCCAAACCAAATAAACCTTTTGGAAACCTTGGTTGGTTAGATTGTTTGTTTGTAATTAAGCACAAAGCTACACAATGGGCTATCTGTTCTCTGCCCACCACGGGTATCAAAACCCGGATTCTGGCGTTGTAAGTCCGCAGACATACCGCTGTGCCACTGTGGGGCAGTTGGTTAGACTCTTGGTAACATTCAGAAAAGTTACACCACCTTCAAGTATTATATTGTAAAAGAAGTAAATTTTCTATCTCATCAAGACAAGCGGACCATTACTATTTTTTACAGTTCTCGACCTATGTAATATTATTTTCAGTTCCTCCCACCATATGGATACCTAACCAGGTAGTTGAGGCCCCACTGGGATCAAACACGACTCTCGAATGTCACCTAGAGTCTCAACCAATAGCAGAAAACTTCTGGCTTCGAGGAGGTGAGTATTTAGCTGACCGAGAAAGGAAGTACAGGACGCACTTGGTACGAGACTCTTACAAAGCCCATATGAAACTGACCATCCAGAACGTAGAAAACGATGACTACGGCTTCTATGTATGCGCTGCAAAGAATGACATAGGAAAATCTGAAGGATCTCTGACACTATACAGTAAGTATTTTTATTTCGCGAACCAACCACTAGATAGCGCTATCTTACTGACACTATACAGTAAGTATTTTTATTTCGCGAACCAACCACTAGATAGCGCTATCTTACTGACACTATACAGTAAGTATTTTTATTTCGCGAACCAACCACTAGATAGCGCTATCTTATTGACACTATACAGTAAGTATTTTTATTTCGCGAACCAACCACTAGATAGCGCTATCTTATGAATATTTGT